AATGCAAGGCCGAGGTCTCCATCTCCTTTGGTTACGGAGATACAGATGTTTTCCGAGGGCACACCTATCTCGTTCCAGACACGTCTGGGAATCTCAGAAACAAGTGGATCATAGATAATCGACCATGATGATCATAGTGGCGATATTCGTTTCATTCCCCACTCAACCACAACTTCAGAAAAGTCAATTTGGCGAAAATCCGGTTTTTCGTCTATCACTGTCAAAAACTAAAACCCATATGTTTCACTCATTTCTCGTCCAAAAAGACTCAGATTTGTAGTAAATGATTAGCAGAGATCGTAGAATGCGGTACTGCGCGAAAAAATCGGATCTGAGGTTTGGTTCCGTGGAAGCTTTTCCAGAGACCCGCTAAAAAATCGTAGTCATAAAGTGGAAGCCGCAAGTAATTTTTTCGACTCGATCTACATTCTGTAGCCTATCTGAAAATTTCATGAAAATTTGAAAATTTGAAAAATTTCATTGTATAGTTTGGAAACAGTAAACTTTCGGATTTTGCTTCGAATGGTACACCATGGTAAACCTAACCGGGAGCCCTGATTTTTTTCATAGGTGTACGTCCCAAAGTGTCTACTTTGGGGGTCTGTTGTGATCTGAAAACCGCAGGTCTATCGTCTTTCGTTCTCGATTTATTTAAAAAATAATCATTACCGCTGGGTTTTTTTCCTATAATACTACACAATTGCTCTGTGATATTATCTCCTCTTTGATGGATACGAGAGGAAAGGAAGGCTGTGCTGTATTATGCAGTGATTCTGCTCTCAGAAGAAAAAACGAGACAGAAAAAATTAAAAGAACTTACATAAGTCCTGTATTGTCGGAGAATTGAAGTTGCTGTCTAGTAGAAGGTGTGCAGATTCAGAAAATTGAGACTTAAGATGAATCTCCAATTCTACGATGAACGGTGGCGACGATGGATCTGTTGAAGGCGGCGGCACATATGAGTATACTAGGAATTTAACATCATTGAATGATTCACCATCGACGTCCAACCATCTTTTTATTGTAGGTTCAAAAAACTGGATAATCAGAACGTAAGATGCCATAATACTGAATCTCCACAGTAGACGATCCAAAAATTGCTGATATGCGTCCGTATCATAGACTTCACATTTTTTGGTACTTGGATGTTCATGCAATTTTACAAGGACGCATTTAACACGATTCATCAGCAAAAAGCAGAATCCAACTTACTGTGTTATTGTGTTTGTGAAATCAGCAAAGAAGCTTTTCTGTTGTGGACATCTCTTATTTATATTATATTCACTTTCCAAGTGACGCATGTCATTTCCTTTGACTTTTCCTTCTGAATTTTCTTTACGCACAAAATGACGACAAAAAAGAAAAAGTTCTTTCTTTCTTGTTCTTAAAGATGCGGGAATACTTGGAAAGAGACGTTTTATTATTCATTTTTCTTCTTTCCAACCACGAAATTACTTGGAAAAACATACTGGTTAGTAGGTAAAAACCTGTTCATAACTATACTTCTTTCCACAGTAAAGAAATAAAATGTTTTTTGAAAATATCTATCCCTACTTTTAAATATCCTGACGAACGCTTCCGTTCGTGAATTGTATATCTAGGCTACAGCAGTTCCACATTATACGCTTCAGGTATATGCGCACTTAGTCGTATTAACGTAAATAGCTGTTCCATTCATTTCGATCTTCAGATGTCGGCGCTGGATGCACTGGTCTATTTTAATCACAACTGGAAATCGATCACTTTTGCGAACGGTTCAACGTATGGAGATTTAATTGATATACTTGGTAGAACATTAAAAATCGATTTCACAAAATTATGTATTCAACTTTGGGATGACACCTATAAAGTGTATCTCGATTTAGACGAAGAATATTTTGACGAAGTGAAAGATCTAATACATAAATCATTATCGGAGAAAGCATTTTCAATATCGTTTCGATTTATTAGAAGAGCATTTCCCTGTCCGTTACCCAAAACTCCACGCGCGATCACACGACAACCAAGTGCCGACAAAAGTAAGAAAGAAAAGTCGTATGTTATCAACCTAAAAAATGTTTAATGAGATTTACTCGTTATATAACGTTTCTGATATATTTTCACACATTTTGAAAAATGTGTGATGAATTAAATTAACGTAAAAATTTTTAACAGTGTATATTGCTTACCGTTTTATACCTATATATTCCCTTCTTACAAATTCATTTTTGTGATGATATAAGTCCTTGACATGCTTTGAAACCACTCAGACACGAAAATAAATTTTATGATCACTAACTGAGAACTTACTCTCTCATTATAGGCGCAGATTGTCAATTCGATGAACCAGATACAGACGGTGATCTTTATGGTAGGACCCCAGTAGAAGTAACTCATACAAGGTCTAACGAAGTGTAACCAAAGCGAGAAGTTTCAAAATAATGATTACAAGTAACAACAGTAGCAGCGTTCTCCATTAATACTAAACCAGATTTTTAGAAACTTATGCCATTCTATTCCGAACACTTTACTCTGTATATTCTGCTAAGAGCTCTTTTCTAATTTATTCTCTTAGTGTACAGTAAGCAAAATACTTTTGTTTTTTTTGTCTTTTCTTATTGGTACCTGCAAGAATCATATAAAAAATTTAAAAAAGCTGTTGTACAAATAGCCCATGTTTCATTTTTAGACCCATCCAAAATATATGATCTCAAAGTAATTTATTCCCCACTCCTTTGGTTCATTCGTATTGGCACTAGTCTCCTAATTCTATTTTATAGTTTAAAACGTGGATTTTATTGACTTAAATATGTTCACATCCTGTTGATGTTTATCACATTAAGTACTATTGATTATGTACCAATGGCCACTTATATTTCATGGCTTTTAGTTGGGTTTGTTTTTAATATATTAATAAAACGTCGTTAGAAACGGTATGAAACGCGCGTTTTCTCTGAATGCGTTAGCGAACGATCGTTAAAAGAGCCGTTTAAAACGCGTTTTTTGTTCAAAATTTTAGAATAACTCGTTCGTCGACGACCTGTTCGTTAACGATTGTTGAACTAACTGTTTTCTGGCGTTTTTGTTGGCCGCGTTTTCTGACGACGTTAAAATGATCGTTGAAACGCGTTTTAACATGTCGTTTCTAGACGAGTTTACAAAAAGAAGAAAATTAGAAATTATATTATTTTAACGTCGTTAGAAAACACATTCGAGAAATAAGCCAGAAAATGGTTAATTCAGGTAACAAACGCGTTATTCTGAAGTTTTGAACGACAAAAAACGCGTTTAAACAGCTCTTTTAACGATTGTTCGCTAACGCATTCAGAGAAAACGCGTGTTCCACGCCATTTCTAACGATATTTTTTCGCCTCGGCAGTGCATAACGGTTGCACCACCACCGTTTTATTAATATATTAAAAACAAATCCAACTAGAAGCTATGAAACATAAGTCCGCTGTACTCCATAGATCGGGATCCAGTGGAAAGACCGCAGCTGAAATTTAATACTTTGGTAGAACGGAAAGTTATGTCATCAAAATACTTGTGTCAGTACATTATTTTTTACTTTTTATTGACTGACGACATATGATGAATGTATGCATGAACATCCTTCCATTAAGATTACCATAGATGTCATGTTTTGACGCCAGGCATTTTTTCGAGAATATTATCAGAGAAACCGACAAGAAATATAAATATTAATTTATGCTAACCATCCAGATAAGAAGCATACTCCACTCACAAACACCCAAGCGTCAAAAAAAAAGCTAGTATCGCCCGATTCATCCAGATTAGTAGATTTTTACTCGACTGCAACTATTGGGTAACGACAGTGGAAATCGAGTAATCGTGCGATTGCTAGATTTCTTCTAGTTGCAACGATCGATTTAACTATTGCTAGTTGCACATGTAGATACATCTAGTTAAAAGTCCCTTTTCCAACTAGTAATCTAAATGGCAACTAGTCATGTATCGCCCGATTCCAGACGAAATGTATCTAGATTTTTCCCATAGGTGATGTTTGCTTGGGCAGGATCGAATAGGGGTTGGATTCGGGTTAACGAGAAATGTTTTTCGGGTCAATTAGACAAAAATTCAATGTACACTCTCTCTCGGATAAATACTGCCTTCATACCCAGGTCGACGAAAACTGGCATTTAATTGTCCATTAACAGTCTGTTAACTGTATGCCAAAAAATGACCTGTTAATTGTGTAAAAATCGAATGAAAATTGGCATTTAACAGTCATTATAACGACTTTTTCTTGACTTTGGAATAACAGTGAAAATAATGCCAGATTACAGTCAATGTCCGAAAAAATGTCGTATTACGGACACCGTTAAATGGCACTTTCGTCCATTTATTAGACCGCGTTAACTAATGCCAAATAAATGTGCCTGTTATGTGTCCGTTTTGAGGCAGTTTTTTCTCCATTTCAAAATGGCAAAAGACTAATCATAAATTGGCAGCCAGGTTATGATCACCAAGTCATTCACCGTTTTATTCTTCCGTCATGACTAGTATAAATGACTCTGATTTTCCAAAAATTATTTAGAGTATGTCTCTTCTTCAATTATTCGAGTCATAGAAACTTGCCTCGAAGAAGTAGTCTGTGGTTCTTGGGTCGGTGCAGGTGATAGTACCTCAGGTTTCAGATAATATTTTTTTCACATTTTCTAACGGTCTAAAAATTGATATTTAAATGACAAAAAAATGTGTCCAGCAGGGTTACTGGCAGCAGTTAAATGCCTGTTATTTGACCGTTTTCTAACATTTAAAAAAATGCGAAATAAATGCATTTAAAAGTTCCCAGCTATAATGGCACAAAACGGCCTAAAAACTGGGCCAAATGTCATAAAAATTCCATTTAAATGCTCATTAATGGCGTATTAAATAGCATTTAATTGGCAATGAATTACACCGTTTTCGACGTCCTGGGTAGCTCATCTTATAAAAAATATTTGCTCTACAAAACTCAGTTGGTAGTGAAAAGTTCGGAAAAAGTCAATTTCCATTAACAAATTGGAATTGCAACTGGTCATAAGCGGTCACGTCTATGTAGTGCTCTAAACTGATAGATGATCGTCAATTTTCTGACGCAGAATTCCTTTACCCAATTACTTGAGCGCACAATTACTAATCACATACTAGCTTTTCAGAAAGCTACGGGAACTAGCCAGAGGAGCTGTATTCTATGTCGCAGCGTAGTAAGTATGATCGGTGATCCGAGACACTAAGACATAAGTAGTCTGTTCAAGGTTATTACATGACCTAGCGGAGCCGAGGCTAGAACACAGTACGTTTGCAGTACGTGACGAACAACATAACCACTATGCCATGCCGTCCGTGATAAGACATGGCTGAGCAAGAACTGTACTTTTACGCATCTTCTACAGAATTGCTTGTCCCACAAAACATCACTAGTTTAATTTTGGACTCATTCGTTTAAGTAGCCATTTTAAGTATATCCTCCTCTTTTTTGACCCTCTTGGAAATCGGGGAAGCCGATGTCGGATCGGGGTGAGATTTATACCATAGGTAGAACATCGAAAAAGAAAATCGAAGTATTTTTGCGCAGTATTCTGACATTCTTCTATGGGTTTTCTGGAAAAATGCATTTTTCACACATTAGGACAACCACATTAGGACCCCTCGAAAAATGGTCCGATCTAGCTCGAAATTTTACCACAGGTACCTCCGATTCTATCTCAGGTTAGTTATTTTTCTTTTCGAAAAATATACTTTCCTTGTTGAGATATTCGAAAAATACTAAAAATCTTGTTTGAAAAACCAGTTTTTCATTCTAAAAATCTCGTTTGAAGAACATACTTTCTTCTATCATGCTATGTATAAGAAAAATTTTGAATATATAGAAAAATTTACGAACCTAAAAAAAACTGAGATTTTGGAGGCTTTGAATGAAAAACTTAAAAACTCATGATGTTTTCAAGGAAGGTCATGGAGAGCTGTGAATGGTCTTATTTTATAGCCCAGACTTTCCTCTACATTAGGCTATGTTCAGGTTAAAGGGAAAACTTTTCTGCAAAAACGAGGGCGGGGGTACCCTTGACAAGGAATACGAATGAATGTTTTTGAAGTATTTTGAGATGTAAAACAGCTTGTAAGAGAAAATATTAAGCCTTTCAATATGTCGTTCAGCTACGCTACCTGACTTTCTGAAAAAGAAAAAACTATCAATAATAACGTTAAAAATTGTACACATACACCCTTCTGTGTTCGTCACTTTATTTCTGGAATACAAACTCTCTGAATCAGAGAATCTTTATCCAACAGTAATCTCCCATTCCTTTGGTATTTAATTAAATGAAGCCGTGTTCTATGTTAATGTGTCATGCATTCTAATTGACAACTTCCACTTATACTATGCGGTACAGAAACATTTCTACTCGTCTTATGCATACACTGGGTTTCAAAGTCTTTTTGACATATCTAAGGTCACCAAACTCATTTTTCTTCGCAATATTACCATCATCGTCAAGTGTCCGTCGAACTAATGCGGACGCTTCTGTGTCATTGCTATTAACTTTAAAATGCACTAAAATTCAGACTGAGTTCAATTCTTGACAGGAACAAAAATCCTTTTAATGCTTCTTTTTTAGAAGACACATCAAAGCGATTTCGAAAAAGGCGCTAAAATACGACTAAATGGGATCCGACTTACGTGTCTTTAATGTGACTAGAACAAAGACGTTATAAAGTGACTGCTAGGTAAAGTCACATCATGTGTCTTCAGAGAAGATACAAAAATGCGGCTTTTTGGGATCCGACTTATGTGTCTTCCTAGAAGTCGCATTATTTTTTAGAGTGTATCGTGCACCAAATACTATTAATTTGATTGACAATTGATAACAATAACAAATAACCACAGCCGGATTCATGTGTTTTTGTCTGTGAAAATGTGATAATTGATAATATATTACTGAATAAACCGCCAATTATCACCAGAATGACTAACATTGTACATATTTTAATAATTAACGGTTGTCAAGGCATTAGCGATTTTCTCGTTGATGACTCTGTCAAAATTGAAAAGTAAGATATGCATTCGATGGAGCATGAAGAGTTCTATCTGAAGCCATCAAAGAGAGAGTTGGAGCCAGAGAAGAAACGAATCGCGACGGCTTTTTCTAGAATATCCTCTTCGTCGCATATGATCAAGGCACTAGTTAGCGATTTTCTCGTAGATGGTGTTTGCAGAAGCAGACGCCGTTGCGAACTCGTTCAAGCAGACGCAGTCCGGAACGGCGTCTGTTTCTGCAAACACCACCGTCCAGGAAGTGGGTGGCAGCTTATGGCCGAACATCCGAACAGTGATGAACAGCCTGGACTTCTGTGTGAAGAGTATTACTAAATACAGTACTCTTCTTGTCCAGTTGACACCACTGGTCGGTTTTTCGACCAAAACCAATAAACTTCCACCACCCACTTCTTCCACCCATTGGATAATGTTCATCCTCCCCTTCTTCTCATTGTCGTCATATATATCGTCCATGGAGGATGAACTTGTTGTTTTTTATTTTTATTTATTTATTTATTTATTTGTTGTTATGTATCGATAATGATGATGGTGGACGTTTTCTACTTCTTTTTTTTTTGGCTGCTGAATTTAAATTAATTTAACTTAATTCAGTTTACTTCAATTCAACCTCTAATTTATTCGTAAGTATTTCTTTTCACATACTGCCCTTAGAACTCATTCTGCAAACAAACACTAATAAAGACCTTTCTATTTATTCGTGGAGGCATTGGATGAACTACAAAATTTGGTTGTTAAGATTTTTAAAGATATTCCAAATCAAAATTTTCCAATGAAAAAATATCCCAATGATCCATATGGTAAAAGTAAATGACAGATAAACAGGAAAACACTCTTTCCAATTTGAACTTTCTTTTTGATTTAGACAATCTGCTATGTTGTACCAGTTAAACAATATCGTCATATAACCATAACACGGCCTGTATCTGATTATTAAGATGTTTATTATGCAAATGTAAGTATCTGTAGTTGTCCTTTTCTTGCTTGTTTTCTGTCATCAAATATGCACAATTTTCCTTAGAAACGACTTTACTGCCATCGATATCGACGATTCTCACGTTTAACTGTGATCGTGGACGAATAAAACAGCTACGTACACTATTACGCTTCACATCGACGTACTATGAATATTGATATTTTTATATTAGTTTTAATAAATTTATTACTACTTTGACTGACGTTTTTTTCTTTCTTTTTAGCCCGAGTCTTATTTGAGCCATTTAATTGGTCACGAAGGAGAAGGTAGTTTATTAACGTTGTTAAAAAGACGTGGCTTGGCATCAGAATTAGTCGTTGGTGAAAAGAATAATGCAAGTGGTACAGGTCTTTCACAATAGATACAGAACTAACAATTGATGGTCTAGGTACGTTTGCAGCGTTAAATTCTTTAACATGCTTAGTTCTAAACTTGTAATCTTTCCCACATTTTAACATACCAGAAGTAGAGTTTTCCCCTTCTCCTTTCCGGCACGTCAGATTCTATTAGACAGTTCCTACTTAGCAGTAAACAGAAGTGGAGTCACGAGAGAAAGTAAATGTCTAGTATTTTGGTATTGTGTAAAACGTGGAACGTTATTTCTTTCCTGTCAAAACAATGGTAAATGATGTCGTGTTTATTTTGTAGAAAAACTTGTCATTAACTATAAGTACGCAATATGATGAGTCTGTTTATCTTAACACTATCAATTTATGTACATGCCTTGCATAGCCTTCATGTATTACTGAGCTTTCTTTAATTACTCGTCTTCATTTCTATGCTCCACTGTGTCCAATTTATCAGGATCAATGTTATATAAGTGTAGAACTTCTTTCTTCATCAAAGTCAGGATGCTGATCAGTATCATCTTTTACAGTAGAAGAGGATGCTGATGCTGACTTAGATGAAGTTTAGAATCATCGATGTAATCGGTCCAAATTATTCAGATCGGAAACGGGCACGGTCAAAATATTTTCACGTGTGTAAGTTTTTTCAAACTCCGGTTAAAATCAGTTTTCTTTCAGACTGCTCGATATAGGGTCTTTTTTGAAACAAACGCTGAATGACGCGTTAAAACTCTTTTAATGAGAGATTTCTGTTTTTCAGGTATCAGGCGTAATTTAGATGAATGCCGAAACGAGTAAGCTGAAACGTTGATTCTCAAAGATTTTGAAGCATGCATGCATACCAATTTTAAAACGATTACTTTCCAAGGATATATATATATATATATAATACATCAGTATTTGTTGGCTTTCTATAAACTGCAGATTGTAGTTGATCATTTTTCGCTATTTCTAATGGAAAATTTTATCTTTGAATACTAATGACTAATTCTATCAAGAAAGTATAGTAGTTCTGAGTGCACAAATTTTAAACAAACAGAAAATATCATATGCTTATCTGGCCTATTATGATAGTTTGTCTGACAAAATCTATTAACCTTTTGTTGTAGTTTGGACATAAGTCATAATATCTAATAATGATGGTCTGTGATAAGATTGAAAGCTTGTTTAAATAAATAAGATAATGATTTTCTGTGCATTTTTTATATATATTCTATCCTATAAAAAATCTCCAGTCTATGTCACTCACGGCTAACTCTTCTTTTGCTCTCTTTGTCCGTGCAAGATCGTAAGTATTTTAAGTTATGTGTGGATGAATGTATTTTAGCTGAAATAGTCAAATTAGGACTTTCGAGTCGAAAAAATAATATAATATTAAAACTTTTATCTATGGTTTGATTTGTACCATAAACGGTTGAGTTCAAACTCTGTCCGGTGAATTTCAACACCAGATAGTGTAAAGTTGTGCGCAACTTAATTCAACAATGAAAATAGGTTTCATTTAAATAAAAACAAACATTTACTATTGATTAAAATAAGGAATAGCGGTAACAACAACTATTTTCGTTTTAACTAAGAGACATTCTAGCATCTAATTGCAAAATAGCACGACATATAGACAACAATGTTTTGTTGAAAAGCATTTCATCTTATCGTTAGCATCTAAGTAGTGATTAAAAAACCACTATATAGAGCAACTCAACTAAAGAAAATAATCAAATTACATTAGTACACTACTTCTCATAAATAAATAAATATTTGAGGATACTAATACAACGATAAATAACATGTTCAATAAAAGTTTAGTAGAAAAACTAAAAAATAAGTTGTTCGTCTTTATCAAATATTAATTCAGATCAAGTGAATTTATAAAAAGAAAAACATTTTTTCGTATTTCTCAATCTATATTACTCCTAGATTTATGATCAAAACAATTGGAGTTAACCGTTCTACTCAGGAACGTTTTTTTTGAATATGTTTCATACTGTTGAAAAATTATTTAATTAATATGTGAAAAACAGCTGCTTGACAAACTGCTGTATAGTTGGATATTGTTATTGATACAGTTTACATTGTCTCCTTGTCCTTCTCATGTTAAATTAGATGTTGTTGAATGTAGAATACTAACGCGCCTTTCTTTTTAGTCTTTTTGTCCGTAAATTACTACTACAACATCTTTTCTTCTATTTCTTCTTAGTGTCTCTATGCACATTGTACACATCACGAGCCTAATGTATATAATAGGCAGTAAACAAAGGAGAGTGTAATGATCATGATCAATTTTTTTCTCTACTTCTTTTTTTTCTCTGACCTCATCTGTTTAAGAAAGAAAATAGATTGAGAGGAACACAAAAAAAAAAAAAGAAAAATTCAACGACATATTTTTCCTCAAAATGTAAGATATACATTTTGGAAGGAATCTATACATAAACGGTTTGTAGTCAGTTGGACGTCAGTTGTTTTTATCGAAACCGTCCAAAAACAGATATAAGTCTATCTGATTGATTTTTAACAGAACAAGATCGATACGGTCACTAATAGCACTGATTGGTTTATGAAAAAATATATTTTAAATAATTATTTTATCTATTTGTTCAAAAGAAAAAGGAAAATATGAAAATAGTTTTGACATACAATGATTATTTATGGAAGTTGTTTTATATTCCATTGTTGATTGTTTTATCATTTCTATGTTCTGAAATAACAGCACAAACAAGTACGTCATCCTTCTGTTTTATATATTCTTATTTTTCTTGCTGTTGCTACTGAATTTGGATATTTTGAATGTACATTTGGATGTATATAGTTGTTTTGTTTAGTGTCCAAATATGCACTTTTTTGTTGTTTTGATTAGAAGTCTGTTCAATAAGTACTCAAAAATGCTACGCAATTTGTTATGACCTCAATTTGTACGTCAGTCTTAACTCATTTTCTTCCATTAGAAACACTTCTTTATCTTTAGATAAACTCTAGAGAATATCATCATTAATCTTCATTTGTTCACTGACATGTTTTATGAATAATAATTAAGAAAAAAATTGTTAACACGTTGATCAGAAACAAATTTTCTCGTCTCTTTCTAATGACGTTGATATATTGACCTGAAATTCTATTGTATAAGCGATTCAATAAAAAAAAAAAAGAAGAATACTAGTAGACTCACCTGGTTATAGAACGGGTTTAAGTTTTTCCTCAAAAATGTCCTAAAAAGTTACACTCTCTTTATAGTTTGGATATTGAAAAGGATGTAAATAAGTGACCACTGATGTTACCGTACTTTGTTTTTATCACAAATAATTTGAATTAAAATTTTATCAAAAAATACTACGTAATTTCGATGAAAAAAACCCGCTGTCAATGATTGGTAATGCAATTATCTCGTCTGATATTTAAAGATGTAGTTTGTCCTGTATAGTGAATAATATCTTATCTAAACTATGATCACACATTTTGATTCATTCATTATTTTCTTTATTAAATTGTCATATTTGAGACTTTTTAACTATCTATATTCCTTTGCGTACTTGACATAACAATACCTTTTTTCTTTTTTTACAAGTCTATTCTGCTTACTTGTGTATTTTTTATTCTCATGTATAAAGATGAATAGTGCTAATAAGTCGTCAATGTGGTTTTTGTTTAAGAGAGAAAGAAAAAAATGAAATAATAATTGTTGGTTGACTTAATTCAATCATTTTCATAAAGAATTATATTTTATTTATTTCTTATCAAACGAAATATCTTACGCCTTAAGGAATTGTAGTATCATTAGTAAAAGTGAAGTGAATGTTTGTATATGTTTAGTTTGCTAATTGTTTTAATACTTTCACCATATATATGCCGCAAGCCACTATAAGTGTTCTGTTTTTTTATAATATATCATAAAATTTTGTCTCTATTATTTTTCAAAGATTCATATATTTTAATTATTTATATATCTAATATTCAAAATATTCAGTTTAATACAGCGATTGATCACACGCGAATAAAACAATTTAACTGAATTCATACGATTATAAACATTAAGATTTCTTATTTAGAGATGTGTTCATTTTTTCAAATATAAAATTATTTGTTGATATTAACTAGTTATGAGAATATATTAAGTATCATATCTTGATTTCTTTGTTAGAATGAACATAGAATTTAAAAATTTTGAAGATAAAATAGTTTTTCTAAATTATTTTACTTAATAAAATTTGTAGCAGTATGGAAGAAATTTTCAAGGGAACAAAGGAGATAGTCTGTACTACTACTAGATAGTATTACAGACATATAGAGAGAGAAAATAATTAATAAAGCAGAAAAAAAGAAATAGAGAAAGTTTTCTAATATAAATATATATATACAATCTATTTCTTTTTTATTTCCAGTATTTGATTTTCCAAGCTAATTGACATTTTTTTTATGTTTTTCTATTTCCGATTTTGTACGCAAACTAATTAAGAGAAATATAGATTTATTTTTTTAATAACAAAAAAAGAATTGTATAGTTAGAATAACAAAGTGATAAAAAAGAAAAATATTGACAGAACCTAAATTTAAACCTCTTTTTTTACCACCAATGTCAAAACTACACTTATACGATACGCGTCTTACATAATGACTCCGTTTCATCAGTAGTTAATGTTCTTTTGGCTGCACATAAATCGACATCAGCATCTTTCTCTTGTTTTTATTTTGATAGTTTTATTCAAAGATTTTGCTGCAAAACATAAGTTATCGATTGAATTTTGTTCACCTCAATAACTTACTAAAAACTTATATCAGGTGAAATAAGTCATTTTTGACTATTTTCACTGGAAATCAAAATGTTCATAACTTAGTCGAAATTGATCAAAATTACTTCACAGTATCAATACTTTATTCGTTCAAACTCATTGTGCACTTGAGATCATTGAAAAATATTTTCTTAGTTCAGCAGATTTCTAGAAAACTTCAAAAGATTTATCAGTTTTTTTCTCAGATCCTTATGACTTTTTAACAAGATTCTTATAAGATTCTTAATAATTAATCGTCTTATTTCTTATTATATTTGCCTTTACTTAATTCTATTAATTATGGTGCGGCACTGATAATGGTATCAGTTTTACATTGCCATGCAGTAATCATATGTCACTCCGTCGGTACTTCTCTGATAAGAAGGAGAATATGAAGTGAAACAGACATTCGAAATACCAGAAGTATACTGTAGTGTTTATATACGCAGTCGTTGACAAGACAAAACGGTGATTGCAAACGACATTTGACGCGGGTGTGCATCAATGCAAGAATAATAGATTTTTCTGGCACTGATCTAAACCAGTGCGAAATTAGGGCAGAATTTTTTTTTGGCAATGCTACTAAAAGTATGTTAAGAGGGTAACGAGGGCAATTTTGTTACTAAATTCATTCGATACATATCAAACAAAGTAGAAAACAATATTAGAAAAATATTTTCTTTACATTGAAATCTATTATTTTATTTAATCCTTTCTATTTGAAAGAGATCTGAATTGGTCTAATTTAAGAACTATTCATTTTCTCTGACTAGAAAATTTAAAAAGTTTTCAAAAACTTAAACACGGCCAACGTCGGCAGTCTGAGTAACATTTTTGAACACATGAAATGCTGTCAACCTGAATATATGTGTTTTTGTTAGATTTGATTTTACTCACGATTAATTAGTGTTTCTGGCGTTATTTGTAGTATCATATATCATAGAATATACTGACGACGTTCATGAAGAAAAAATGGTTAAAAATAAGCTCATCTGTTAATAAAAATATACGCATCCTCCGTTTATGAATAATAATAATAATAATAATAATAAATCGTGTCATAGAAAGAAAATAGGATAAAATACTATACGAACTGTCGAACTTGATAAGTATGAAGACAAGAGTGGAGTTTTGTGAAGTATAAAATATATTATCATCTATTTCAAAAAAGAATGGTCAAGCAAATTTTTTGTATAACACAACTTTCGGAAAGCAAATATTATCATAAGACTCAACGAGACCAATTACACATGTCGACTTTAGAATATTCACACAAGTCATCGGACATCAGCGATGAAGTCCTTAGTAAATCTAATGTCACACCCAGCTGTAACAAATGATAGTCTTGTTTGACTACCATTTCGAAGAGACTGAAAAAAACATATTTTGTATTATGTATTTTTTAGTGATGAATATGTTTTCCAAAAAGTCTTTTTTGAAACGTTACTTTTTCAAGTTAATTTTTTATGGAATATGTCTAAGTCCTCGTTGTCGATCGCTAGAAATGACAGATTTTTACCTTTTTTTGTTAAAAAAAGATTCAGAAGATGTGTGCGCCTATTGTCCTTGAAACAGATAGTGCTATAGTCCAAAATCTCTTAGCGAGTTGACTGTAGAAACCGAAGATTTTTTCAAATTAAGATTATTTTCGACTTTATTTCTTAAAGATCTAGGAAACAAATGTAATGCAAGTGACACTACGTGTTCATGGACACCAAAAGCACCATGGAATTACTATACCACAGATATATTTACGGAAAAACCTTATGAGAATAGCATCTACTTTGGTATCAATGAAGATGACAACGTGACATCGACATCCTACCTGGAGAGTCCAAAATTAACAGCATGTGATGCAGTTGTTCTCCGCTTTTATTCTCGTATTAGCAATGAAAACATTAGTTTAACATTGATGATGTACAGAAAAAAAGTATGGAAAAAAGAATGGTCGTTAACATATAACAAAGAAAGCCAATGGAATTTTACTCAACTTACATTTAATATATCGGAAAAAAGTCAAGATATTCAGGTATCGCAAGTGACAATCATGATCTGTGAGAAATTATAGTTCTGTTTCCTTATCACCACGATGTCGTCTATAAAGTAAAAGTGTGGAATCTACCCGTTATTTTTAAAAATTTTCCTTTTTTTCTAAAAGAAATACTTTCCGTAATCATATGCGCAAACTGGTAGATTCTGCACCATCGGTATAAAGTTTTTTGTCTGACATCTGTATTTTCTACTTTAATTGATTCCAGTTTCGTTTCGTACCTGAAAAATTAAACAATAATGCAAAAGGTCGATACGCAGTGGATGTTGTCGATGTGACTACATATACAAATTGTAAGTATCACAAATTATCTCTGGTTATAACTATTTGTGAAAATTGTTTTATTTTTAGGCCTGTCCGATCATAACACTCGTCTACTTGTCTACACGTTTCATCAACACAAACCATCAAGTTCAACATCATTTCATCCATTCATATTCGTCATATTTATAGGAACATTTTTACTTATTGCTGGATCAATTGCTGTGTGCTTTTTATATCGCTTAGCGTCAAAGCGTTATAATCGCTGGTCAAAACAACGACGAATAGCAACAAGTAAGAAAGCGCAACGAGCAAGTAACACTGAAAAAACAGAAGAATCTATCGCACTTGGAGGTAATAATTCAATAAAAGCAATTGCTATAACTTGATAACAGTGTTTCATGTGTGTGTGTGTGTTTATTTGTATAGTTGATGCGCTTCCGTTTTTTTCTATTGTACAATTTTATTTTAGATGAAAAAAGTTTTTTTTTCTTATTTGTTATTTCCATAAATGTTCTTAATTATTAGATATTTAATATCTCAAACAAAAACAAAACTAATCTCAAAGTTTTCTCTTTGTTTTGTTTAATGGACGAATTTCTAACAACCTTGTTTATCAAAGTGTGCATAAATAACCTCAGTCAGAACTCGTTTTTTTTTTGGTTTGTGGAAACAGCCTTTTATTTACCTAAACTCTTTGCTCTTGACGTAACCATCAGATTTCAAAATTGCTTTTATTTAAAAACAAATAGAGAGAAAATTGCAAACACTAATATTCGGTATTAAACGATCCTACACAATATCATTGTTCCTTGGCTTTAAAATAGTCACCTGTTGGTAGAAAAAACAAATTTAGTTGTGAGAAAAAAGTTATTGTAGAAACAGTTTACCCAGTTTTTCAATAGATTCAATTGCTATAGCCGGATTCATACGTTCATTGAATGTACCAAACAGAATGTAAACTTTTGTTTTAACAACAACTATACCACGTTTGTTCTAAAGTGGGACAAACTACTATTAAGACGGAAGAGTCAGATATCGCTAGTACTAAACAAGAAGTGCACGAACCTCTTTTGCATAGATTGCCTCGTTATCTGCGCGTATACATTGATAGTATATATCATTGAAATATAAACCTTTCTTCCGTAATACTGTTGGATTATTGAATGCGTTCACAAGTGTATCAGCATCTGTTTGCTCAAGCTGAAAATAATTTGTCTTTGATTATATCAAATTTGATTAGTAGAAGTTAATATTTATAATTATACCTTATATCCAACAGATGTTGTTTTAATTTGACAAGTATCTCGAATTATTAATCCACATGTTTCTACATTGCCGGTGTCGATTAGTGCCGTATGTAAAAGGACTTGTAGCTGATTCATACATCTACACTTTAGAAAACTTCACTCTCAAACAAATAAGAGTAACTCATTAGAGACATCGTTTTATCTATTAATTTTACCATGTATACGTATCAAGTTTTGAAAAGATTGGATGAGATTACAAAAGTAAGTCACAATTCTACTAATGTATAATACTTCTGTGAATAACACAACATGGAAATGTCTAAGAAATTTTAATTGCTAGTACAACTAGTGTCTTCACAAGCATGATCCATTCTGATTTTCTGCGTGCTCGTTTGGGGCTTTTAGGCATTTTACGTACGATTTTCTATCGTTCTCGTTTGTAAATGGTTACTGGCGGAAGTATGTTCCATCGAATCTTCTAACTAGTTAATATTTTAATTTTCTCATTATCCCATCGTTTCTCCGATCTAGTACAATCTTAAGAACTTTCACTTTGATTGATGAAAACAAAAAATGGAGAAATCTACGAAGTGTCGAAAGTCTTTCGAGAACAACTCAAAACAAGTTTTCAGGGATAAAAATCAATATTTCTAATATTCATGGACATGTGCCGCATATGTTAGCGCATATGCGGGTATTTTGACTATATTATGTCTCATACTGGTGACATTTTCAGAAAATGGTACTCATTACAAAATATGACTGTGGTTTAGAATCTCGCCTCTATATCTCTAGCTTTTGCCGAGATTCTAACAAATACGCAAGTAAAATAGACTGTTTTTCTGGCGGAGATTCCACAACCTGGACTACGAAGTGGAGATTACGCAAGTGCTAATTAGTAACACATCTCTCTTTGTGTCATGATGCTTTTCCACACTTCCTCACTTTCAAAAACTCTTTCAGATTTGAGAGGATCTTGCTCGTTATCGCAAAAGAAAGTCTAGATCAGGAAGCGAGATGTATGACGCCCTGCATAAGTTCCTTATCTACGTTTCAGCTACTTTTTTATGAAGAATCCATTTTATTGCGATGGATGTTTTTAAACTATCATTTCTCAGGGCTTGTCTGTTAGAACTCGTTCGAAACGTTGGCTGTGATAAAAAGCAGCATGAATTTTGAGAGTAGATAGTCTGCGCTGTCCAACCTTGTGCTTATCGTAATATCAACTTCCTATATACAATTTTGCGTTTCTGATAGGAGGGGCAACGTCGGTACTATCGAGTCGAATGCATGGCTTCAATCGTTTTACGGCATATAAACCATTCGTACAAAATTAATTTGAGGCTTTTGGATAGTTTAAGTTTTAGAATACTATACTGGGGTTTATTTTGTTTGCATTCTGCAAGGTTTCGGTCAAATTGATCGGATCCTGTTACTTTACCTCCGTACTGGCTATTTGTTACAGAAAAACAGAAACTTGAAAAAATTTCTAAAAGTAGTAGAAAGGGAATAATTATATATATATAAGTCGTTCTAGAGATCTAACATAGTTTGGAGATTGATTCGCAAAATAAAATGTTCGTTCATTTTCATTACATTCTCAGCTTGTTACTCAACAGTAACCTCTCAGATGGCTATTGTTGTCATGTTATAAAAAAATTGCATATTCGCTACTCGAAATCAAGCGCCATCTCACGTTGTATAATTTATTTAAATTTAATAAGTTACCATAATTATTTTACACACACAGAATGTACGCGTTGAGTACGATGTGTTAGAAAAGCTGTTACTACCATATTGATTTCACGAAATAAAAGAAATATGTCAAAGTTATTTATGAAAAAACAGATATACTAGAGATCTAAGAAATCAATACATGAAACAGCTGTTTACAAGAATAAGTTGTTAACACATGTGTCTAGTGTATTCTTTTTTCTTAAGTTCATGATTTAAGTTTAAGATACATTCAACTAAACTTGCGCAGTTCTTTCAGAACGCTTTACGCATGCATATGAAATTTTTAAGACATGTGCTTAATTTAGAGTACGCGCATACCTTGATTACACTGTGCTTGACTTGGACTTTTCTTCGAGAACATTATATGATCAAATTCAATATAGTGTAGGATATTGTTGAGGTTCAGGAAATCTAGTTTCCTGTAATAAATAATCTTGATGTTCACTCATAAATCTCTCGGCTAATTTTAATGACGTACACAACAACGTTGGCTTCCATACCTCTAGTTGAGAATTCGAAACAAAATTCTGTGGACTTTTGCACTTTTTTCGCTAATTTTCCTAATTCCAGATTAGCATTTGAACATTATACCATCTTGTACAAGTAATTGTCAAGGCTAATATGATCGGACCTTTCATGATCTCAGGACTTTTAGAAGATTTCTGCAGGACTCAAAAGAGATTCTCGACTATGACTCATTTACTAATTCATCTAAATTCTTTCTTGCGTTCGCTTAACATGAGGGGTGGCAAAATATATGCATCTAATATAAAGTCGATGCATCTAGGTGTAAAGATGGAAGCGGCTCACCCTCATCTTCTGCCCCCTCTTCGTCTACCTCTTGCCTCTTTTCGTCTTCCATCTTTACATCTAGATGCATCGACTTTATACTAGATGCATATATTCTGCCACGTATGCTTATCATAACATAAAACTATTTTCATCCTATTTTTAGCGATAATAATTAAGATCTTCCCGATTAAAAATCAAAATCAGATGTTGAAATTTCAGGAAATGTTGAAAATGTTAAAGTACAATAAGGAAATTTTTGTGACTCTATTTACCATCGTTGGTGAAAACACTGGCCAAAATGAGAGTGTTTGTATTTTTCCAAAATTTTCTTATACATCGTTGCTGAAGACTATGAGTTGGTTTCAAAATGAAGCTAACACATGTGGCTAGAAGTTAACAAAGCTCGAACTAATGTTAAGAATAGAGGTGTACAGTGCGATCGTATCCGATGCTTGAATAATACTTATATAAACTATATTCCATATTTGTATTTAGAATAATTTAGTATTTCGTTATTAAGAAGCTAAAGTAGTTTACATCTACATCTTTGTTGTTGTCGAAGTTTAAATAATTTGAAAAAAAGCAATATTTTCGACAAGTAGGCATTGAAGAATGTTTAGTCAATGATAGGTAACTTCAACTGGTACAATAACACGTAAATCTTCGGTTAATAATCCTTTTTCTTTTAATACGACAACAATATGATAGCCTAGCTCACATTGTATCAAAGTGGTGGTACCAACTGTTGTTTTCGAATAGGATGCCGGTAAATGTTTAGTGGGCAACTGTAATTGTTCGTTTCCGCTCCATGTTGTATTTGTATCTGTATCAAATGTCCACTCTTTTTCTTCTAAGCATTTTCCACCAATATCATTTGCCACAAGAAAGTATTGCATAAGTTGTAAATTAATAGAGCGAATATAACGACGTTGCGGATTTATGTAAGTGATATTAAGTGCGATTGCATCACCAGGATGAAAATAGGTATGGGTTAAGTTTACAGTCATCTGTATGTCATGTCTGTTAATATTATTTCGAAATAAATCATTACGATCAATCATCGATGGTATATGCGATCCTCGCGAACTAATGTAGAGAGGAATTTGATAACGTAAATCTGTTCCACGCCAACTTGATCCACTATTTCCCAGTAACATTAACTCAAGATAGTACGCAATATGCGGATAATTTTTATCATTTAACGACGGCGGTAAATAATCGGGAATACTGACAGTGAATTTACCCGTTAAACTTTGTTGCATTGAATCGTTCTTATCATCAGTTCCGCTATCAGTTATTGATATGGAACTTACGATTGTGTCTAAACTTGTTTCTTCTTCTTGTTGATTTGATTCAAGCGTTACTGTAAATTGACGACGGCAAACATTAACATCGTGTAAAGCATGCCCATCACTATCAGCACCGGTATCAACTTCGGCTGAATAAACAGCGTTACCAACTAATTCAATTAATAATCTTGTCTTATTCATTTTGTTAGCAGATGGTATTGTTCGATTACTTGAGTTTATAAGTGTGCTAGGAATTTCAACAGTGCCAACAATCGTATCACCAGTAAAATAGAAACCATCCGGATGATTAGTACTTATACGAACACAATCATTAATTATTGTAGATTGTGAATTCACAGATGGATCATTAATATTGGATGATGAACTTTTATTCCAACCAGTATTGCCCATTTTATGTTAACTGAATAATAAAGTGTAAACAACGATTATATATTCCAACGAAAGGTGTTTCTATACTTTAATCTGCTTAATTTGAACGATTATTATTGTTCTGAATTTCTCAAAGTTAATGACATGTAACACTTGCTTTCTGTCTAAATCAATCTGTTAGTGAAGATCCGGATAAATCTGTTAATATGACGACAGCGTAAATTGTATATGGTGTTGAATCGCTATGATACTTGACATGGCACTATCTCTCTAATCAAAAGAAGAAATTGTTAAATGAGAGCTATCGATGATAAGATCCATTTACTTGATTACGTATTTTTCGAAACTATTTTCTACTATTATTAGCAATATTCCGTCTTTTCTTTTCCTTCTCTTTTCCTTTCTCTCTCCCTCTCTCGTTAACCGTTAAGCGAATATGTTGTCCGTATAGTGTCTAAAAAACAAAAATAATAGACTAATAAGTTCTATATAGAGAAAAAAAGTTAGTTATTCACAGAATGCATATAGATATCTGTTTTTTTTACTAAAAACTACTTTTTCTCTTATTTTATCTTCTTTCGGCAAGTAGTCTGTATGAAAATATATTATCTTTATTTCTTTTTCTCAAGAACAAAACAGAAACTCATAGTTTATTGCTCTTCGTCTATACACTTTGGTATTAAAAATATTGTTTTAGAGAATAGAATAACATAGTGTAGAGCATAGTTTCCAGAAATTAATGATATATTTACATTGTTATTACTAATAAAAATGTAATTATCATTTGTCTGAAATATTAACTTATTATCGACTAAAATGTGAACATTTCGTTTAAGAAATTATAATAGAAAGAATTTTTGACAATAATTTATGTCAGTTGATCCAGCAATGGCTTATACGAAATAAAGTAAATCTAAAGGCGGTGCTTCTTTCGATCTAGAATATCAATTTATCATATATATTTATTAATTGTTTATTCAGTACTCAAATTATTGAGAGTAGAAATATTCGATGTGTTAAAGTGTATGCAGTGCCCTATTTTTTTATTTGAATCAAAACATTCATAGATCGACATAACATGTATAATAAGAAATGCGTGCTATTTCTCAACTTTGCATTCTATAATAGTACAAATATTTTCATTTTTGAGAAAATAATGACTGCTAACAACCAGTCAATACATCTATGTTTATTTGTTTAGTAGTTTTTTTTTTTTACATAGTCAGTAAATTTACTCGTCAACGCTTTTTATTGACACAGTCAATGAATGATCTTCTTCTCTTCGTGTGAGTTAATGAGAAAGATCTTTAAAAAAAACGATTTGCTTAGTTGAGTGGATGAAATACAATTGTTTAACAATTTCATCTTTAAATACGATATGTACACTGCATGAAAGAAAAAAAAACAATATTGTTTAAAAATAATATATAGAAGAAGAATTTTTGAGCTCCTAAAATATGTCTTCAAGGACTCATCTTAGAACTCGACCTTGATCTGTAATTGTTTATATTTTCGTTTAACAATAATGACAAGACTATCCGCAATAATAAAGATAGAAGAAATTATAGGATCATTAGGTACAGTGTTACGACAATTAGAATAGTTCGTCTTTTGTTCTGAGGATCATTCACTAATTCTATAGTTTAAAGGATAGAAGTTAGATACGCATATCGTAAATCGATATTGGAGCATTCAATACTTATCATAATTTGTCCATAGTAAAAACAGCTCTTAATAAAAGTTTAGATACTGCACAACGAATAAAAATATGTCACACAATATATACTTTCTATCAAAAATTAACTAACATGACCATGATCTAACGTCATAATACGAAGAGTTTATCTTTTTATGATTTAATTGATAGATAAAAGTATCGTTGAACAACAATCATTCACTCAAATGTCACTTAATCAGAGTTAATTGTTCAAATATTTTGATTTTTTAGATATGTCGATAATTCGTTTACATTTGTTTCTATTATATGAAATTCTCTTTATTTTGTGTCTATTTATTACTATTACATCTTCACTAAGATGTTATAAATGTGATGCATCAGACGCATGTAAAAATCTCGATCGTCATGCATCATTAAATGATGACATTGAAGAAATAGAATGTGAACATTTATGTTGGAAATCAGTTTCACTTGGTAATGTTTATCGTGGCTGTGGTAATAAACGTTGTGTTGCATCACATCAAATGGGATCATTTAGCACTAGTCTATGTTGTGAAGCAGATTATTGTAATCATGCCACAAATAAACGTATATCTATTCTATCAATATTAACTATTCCAATGTTATTTAAAATAGTACAGAAGTTCATGTTTTAATATTATTATATTTTACGTTATTTTGATAGAAAAATGTTCACATGTCTAATATTATTTTGGTTTAGTTCTTACCTTCTCTTTATATTAGTTAAAAACATGAAAAATTAAATATGATTTTTTTTTCCTTAAACGTATCCTACTTTGTTTGTAAAATAGGAAATGAGAATAACTTCCGATTCGAATTTTGTATCAACTATAAGTCAGGACCGCATATAGTGCTATTTTACTTGAGAAGAAAACAAAATCTTTTTTATTCAAGAATTTGATAATCTTTGTCTGCAAAATAAAAATTATGACACTATTAATGATTATTATTTGTCAAAAATGAATTTATCTTACATATTTAACTTTTCATTTACACTCTAAAGTTTAATTTTTCAAAGAATCGAAAAATTAACAGAACTTTTGTTTTTCATTTATCCCAAATAGAGAAGTCAAATTCTGTTCTTTTGTTCTCAACAACTCAAAATTTGTTTTGCATTTTTCAGAGAACGAAAAAATATCAGTTTTTCAAAAAATTGAAGAATAAATTTTGAGTTACTGAAAGCTGAAGCACAGAATTTGAGACAAATAAAGAACAAAATTTCTATTCATTTTTCGGTCATTTGAAAAACTGAAGAACATCTATGTTTTAGTGTAACGAATTTTTTATATGTGAAAATTATTTACGAAATGAAAACATTACAAGAAATGTGTATTTTCAACCGTTAAAGAAAAGTAATATTAGAGGCATGTGTTGCATATCGAATATCAAATGTGGAAACAAAGACGATTTTGTTTTTTAGAAAATTTGACAAGAATTTCATGTCTCTTTGCGAAAATTTTGTTTTACAAACTGAGTTGAATATGTATACTCTTTACGCTTCGTTCATTTATATGATTTCTAATGTTTGAAGATATTCAAAAGGAACTCACACGTAGATCTTATTCTAATTATAAAACATAAAAATAAAAAATTGCATCTTTCCAAATTGAGATCACTTTTTTTGCACTCATTCTCACTTGGTCGCTCTCTGATGTTTGTCTGATGTAATTAAGACTTCGACATTTTTTGATAAAAAATGATCTCAATTAGGAAGATTAGAAAAACTTCTACAAAAAATTTGTTTTATAACTTATATAAAGTAAAATGTTTTATGGAAGAGGTATTTGATAGAATAGGCAAAGTTATACAATATTCTTGCTTTTATAGTTCTCTATAATGATTGGTTTCTCTCTTTCATCATCGTATTAATAAATGACATTGAAGTTTGATAAAGATAATTTTAACAAAAATTAGAAGTCATTAGAACCAATAATCGGAAGAAAAAAAATATGATAACTACCTCAGTTTTTCTTAATTTCAGTTGTAATGATTATACATAATCACTATAATATCGGAAAATAGTTTCAACAAAGAGTCATTAACACGACTTAAAATTGCACATTTTAGTCATGTCATCAGAAAGCCCGTTTTTCAAAACAATTTTATTTTTTCTGCCTTTAGTTACTAGATTTTCTCTTCTTTTTTTTTTCGCTATATAATAAATAAATTATCATTCGCAACATTTTTTTTTCAAAAAACATAACGATATATATTGAAAAATTATATACTGCATGGATAATTTTGATTTAACATAAAATTGATTCTTTTTTACATCCGCTAGTAAAAATGTGATATTAATAGTTAATTAACTATAATTAATAGTTATTAATACAAAACTATTACAAATAGCTTATTTTTTTAAACTCTCAAACTTTTTCATTACACAATAATTAAAATCGAAGGGATAGACGCCTTTTTATTTTTTTCTTGCATAATAGTTTTAGCTATTAATTTGAGAAAGATATTTTATCTAGAAGTAGAAAAAACAAACTTTTCGCTGCATGCGGTTTTTTAACGACTGAAATAGTTTTTTTCAACGGTATTAACTATGCATGATTGTTTAAGACTTTGTCGGTAGCAAGAAGAGATACCTTTTTTCCAGTGTAATCCTGAAAGAAAGTAAGAACATTCTACTTTCTTCAAGACAACCGTTATCGGTGTAGGGTGCTGCCGAATAATAGTTTCAATAGCCCGATATCTTTTCTGCAGTTGATAAGCGTCTGACATGATCACCCATCTCATTACTAAGCTAGAACATATATTACAGTTCTAGAAAGAAGGCTAGTTTGACGCAGAGTTCTTTCGCCCAACTACTTGAGCACACACACGCTCTAATCACGAACTACCTTTCCGAAAAGCTATGCGAACTAGCTAGAGGAACTGTATTATACGTTATAACGTAGTGAGTATGCTGTCGGATGGATGATCTGAGACACGAAGACATTAGTAAGTTGTCCAAGGTTATTACATGACCTACCAGCGCCGAAGTTCGAACACAGTACGTTTGAAGTACGTGACGAACAAAATAACCACTAATCCATTTATAACTCTGTCAATAGTGTCGTTGTAGAGTTAAATGTGGATAAGTAGTTTTTCATGTTTTATCAAATGCATGATTAATTTTCTCCTTTGTTAAACATCATTCATGAACATTCATCTTAGTTTTATAGCAGGAAAGAACAGCTATTATAAAGGTATTCTTAAAAAAAGTGATAATAATATTAGTTCTAAATAGACGAGTAGATTTATCTTTACTGTTGAACACATTGTTCACAATAAATCTTCCATAATTATTCACGCAAAAACTATTTTTCTTTCGCTTCGTTGATATCTCTATAATTTAAATTAGTAATTCGACGACGTGTAAAATCTATACAATTAATTGTGAGCAGAGATGTGAGAAATCACTTTTTTTAATTCCAGTTCTGTTAACTGTTGAAAGAGTTTTGACGGGGAATTTTAAAGAAAATCGAGCTCAAAATTTACTCTTCTTTCCATGTTCTCATTCAAACAAAGATAATCCGTTGATCCAAAAAAAAACTAGTCTGACTAGTTTTCTTGTTTCTTTACGTTGGCACTGACAACATTTACTGCTTGAACCAGAATTGTCTCTTTAACTTTGCCAATCTTTTTTTCATTCCAATATTTTTGATTAGTAAACAATTGACAGAAATTAATAATGTCTTTATGTGATTGGTCATAATTATTGAGAATACAGACGTAACTAGTTCCAAAAGTCTTGTATTTTTAATGTGTCTTTTATTTCAATCATTCACAAACGACGAAAAAGAAAAACATTCCATAAAAGGGAAAGAAGACGAACAGAAATAACTTCTTTTTTTTTTGCAGAAAACAACAAAACAAAATAAACAGATATATATTATTTCTGAATTGAAAAACGACGATAATGACAAAATAAAGACAAACTGAAAAACTAATTATATAGAAGAATGCAGACGAAGTCAAACATATCTGTTGTTTATACACAAGAAATGTATTAGGTGATAAAAGTACTTAAAGTTTTTCTAATAATTTTAGGAACAAAAAAAATTTTTTTCAGTACAAAAACAAATGTTTACCCATTATTGAATTTTTCGTCTAGCATTTGGTTCTGAAGCTGTTGGTGGTGGCGGTGGACCTCTGACAGCAATTTCTTCAAGATAATTCATCAAAACTTTCTTTCTTTCTTCTGGTGCAACATCAAGAGATAAATAACGTTTGTCATTTTTAAGTGTAGTTTCAATTTCACGAAGATGTTGGTCAGATTCATTTATCATTTGAAGTGATCTAAATATAAATAAATAAATCATAAATCATCTCTATTATTCTTTAATAAATGGGAAAAAAATTATAATTTACTTGTGTGTTATATTTTTTGTCTCTTGTAATAATTCTTTAAATTCATTTTTTGCATCAAGATATCTTTCTTTAATATATTCATCAAATTCTTTTTCTAAATATATCAAAAAAAAAATACAGATCTTTTCATTTTTACAAAGAATTGAACTTCTTACCTTTCTTTTTATCACTATTAGAAAATTTTTCAAAACGTGGATCATTTTTAATTACTTTTTTCACTTCTTTCCACGTTGATGTTAATGTTACAATGTCTTGTTTTTCGTTTAATAATTGATGAAATGCTATTTTACGTTTCTTTTGTAATTGATTTATATGTTCATCAAATAAATTTTCTCGATGTTCACGTTCTAATTGTTTACATTGATCCCATCGTTGATCTTTACGCAATAGTTTTTTTGTATCTTTCCAATCGACATCGGGCGTTCGTACCTGTGAAAAAGAAAATAGCAATACATGAGAATATAATGATAACAATTAATAGTTTAAACACTTACCATATCCGTTAATAATGCTTTAAAGTTTTCAATTGCTTTTTCTTTTTTTAATTGTTCACGTTCTTTTTCTAATTCACGTTGATACGTTGATAATTGTTCTTTTACTTCTTCTGTTCGCTTCTTTATACTGGCATCAATACGTTCTTGTTTTTCTTTTTCTCGTTGACGTACTTTTTCTTCTTCATCATCCTAAAATTAAATGTACAATAGTTTCTTCTGATAAAAACAAGTTCAAATATTATTATAAAAAAATAAAACTAACCTCTGATGGTGCATCACTTTTCGATTCTGTTTTTTCATTTTCAACAGCATATTTTGATAAAAATTCTTTAAACCAATCTTCACGTCTTGAACTTGATTCAATTACTTTATAACGATGATCGTGTTCAGTTGTACGTTTAATATCCGACCATGATGAATTTTGAGTTAGTTTCAATTCTTTTAACATTGAGAAAAAATCCTTTTTCAACTAAAATAGACGAAAAAAGAAAAACAAACAATAATAAAAGAGAATGAAACAAAGAAAGAATATATGCTAAAAAGTTGAATGTATAATATAAACAATAGTACACGCATCATTGATGAAATAATTTTGTTCTCTGTAGAAGATGTCTTGTAGTTTCACCATTATTTTATTTGTCATTCACCGTAGATCTATTTGGTAACACAAAACTGTTTTGTATACTATCACTTGTATTTATACAGTTATTTAGAAACGAAAAATAAAAGCTAATAAAAATAAGAAATCACATACACACTACCTATAATAATTGTGTTTCACAGGAAAACTATGTATTTATGCTGTTTTAGCAGTAGCGTATGTGAATAAACGGATAAGAGGAAATACTCCCACCATCTTGATAATGACCACATTATACACTAGAACGTTTTTAAACAAATCAAACATGCTTTCCATAGAAAGAAAATGCATTTTGTATATTGTTGAAAACACGTACTTTTTGCTTTTATTATGCGTATGACCATCTTTTTTCCTGTATAGGTAAACATAGACGCATTGTAGACAAATAGAAAAAGAATCATTTGTTTAACAGAAAAACAGAAATATATATTTCTGTTCCTACCCGAAAACTATTAATTAGAACAGAACAAAATAGACTAACAATCTGTACATAAACTATCTAAATGAAATTTTTTGGGAATATTCTTGTTGAAAAAATATAAATATGGAAATAAAATAGATATTATTAGATAAATACATACTTTTTCTTTACTACTATAACGTTCTTCTTTTTCACGTCGTTTTAATTCATTTAAATATTCTTGAAACCATGTTTCACGATCACGCGATTTTTCAATAACACGAAAACGTTCATCTTTGCCATAACGTGATGAAAATTCATTAAATGTTGTTCTAAGAGAGAAAAATATTAAAATAAAAAATGTGTTTATCAAGATATCATACGAAGAAGAATCAAATGAAATCATTCAAATGTTTACCTTGTACTTAAATTGGCATCTTTTAATAAATCCTGAAACTGTTTTTTTTTCATTTTTAATTTTGCTGCTTTTTCTTTTCGCTCTTCTTCAGCTCGTTCTGAAAAAGAAAACGCAATTGCTAGCTCTGTTCATATAAAACAAATAGAGGTACACATACCTTTAACAAATTTATCAAATTCTTGTTTACGTTCTTTCGTTGTAAGTAATAAATATCGTGGATCAAAAACAATTTTATTCAACTCTTTTTCCCATGTTGCAAATGCCGATACCTAATAGTAAAAATAAGTAATGGCTTAGTGGTAAAGGATGTTAATCGGATATATACCTCTTTTTCTGCTAACATTTCACGAAATTGTTTTATTCTGTTTTCATATGGCAAAATAGCGCGTTGTTGTGCAGCTTGTGCTTCTGCTTCAATAGCTGCATCTTTTCCAGCAGCAATTCGTTTTGGTTGAAGTTTGCTTGGTGAATCGTCCGTTGTTGAACTAATAGAATTAGAAATACTTGAAGTATTATTGGTAATAAGTTCACCACGGGTTTCATCGTTCTCTTCTTCTTCTTCTTCGTCATCTTTTTTCTTCATTTCTATTCGGCTAATACCATTAGTATTGCTAGTACTTGGCGGAGAAATGAGAGTTGTAGTCTGCTCGACTTTAGCCGCTTTAGTCGCCAACGTTGTATCAGCTCTAGAAAAAGAATAACAAGTCGATAGAGATAATTTTCGTTGAATTTATAACTGACTTTGGTTTTTTGAACTCTGGCTCATCATCACTCAATTTTGGATCCAATTTCTTCTTGACTGCAGCACGCAGAACAGCTGAATCAATCACTTTTGGTGGTTCACTTAATAAGGTATCGACATCAGTACGCCCTTAAGATAGAATAAAATAAAATAAAAATTAAATACTAAAGCACAATTTACACGTACCAGCCAAATCTTCCGGTTTTTCCCATACAGATAAATGTTGTGTTGGATTATAAAAGAATGCCTTACCATCACCAGTCCAAACCACACACCTAAACAAATAATTGATATATATAACTCTGATAATTCGCTCATGATCATTCACAAAACAACAAAGTATTAATTCTGAAAGCAAATGTTTAACATTTGACATCTTAAAGAGAGTAATAATTGTCTTTTGACAAATGATTTTACCAAGGTGTTCCTGAAACTGGTGTACTTGAAATTGGTCTTGATTTTTGTTTTGTTTTTTCCGTGTCTAGTCGTTTTTCTTCTGGTCCAAATGAACCTACTGTTGTATCCATTTTATCCTATTTTAAATAGAAATAAAGTAATCTAGAATGATTTTCCAGAAGAGAAATACTAAAAAATGGAAATAAATGATTAGAGGTTATTCTCTGAACTTATACCCGTTTTTATGTTAGGAGAAACACAGCTTCGTTTAACTCTCAATTACATCTTGTGTAGCAAAATTATCTAACAATACGTGGCGTATACATATAAAATACAGAACAATATTAGCAGCAATAAACGACGGTTTCTTGAAATGATCAGAAATAGAAGATTAAATACTTACCATGCGTCGTACATCATTAAAATCCATTTTCTCAATGGTATGACCATTAAGGAGTGACAAACGACTTGTGTCATCAGTCACTTTAGCTGCATTACTAGCAGCAGTTGCTTCTTGTTCTAAACGCTTTGCTTCTTCTTCGGCTTGTTGAATGTTCTTTTTCAGTGAATCTATTTCGGTTTGTAATTCTGAAAATAAAAAATAGCATTTGCTAAAGCACTAATCTAATTAGAAATCATCGCTACACCATTGTTTCCTTCTACAATTTTTAAAGATAGAAGTGAAAAGAACAATATCGACCATCGGCTCTAAACTTCTTCTTTACTTACCAACCAATTCGTTTAAAACCGTTGGCTTATCCCACGTTGATTCTGTTGTCTTTGAATTATAGTAATAAGCTCGATCTTCAGGATTTTTGTATTCACACCAAATAGCCGCTTCATCCTTCGCCGTCGATAATTTTTCTTCAAGTTCAATTAATCGTTGTCTTAACTAGAAATATAGAAGAAACATAATAATGATTTTGATGGTGATGATAGTTCTATTACACATTTACATACACTTTTCAGATTTTACATCAGAACATGAGTATCCTCTCGAGAAGTCTTTTTAAACTTAGGCGTCATCCTCCACCACACTAGAAATTGCTTTAGCAAAAGATAGCTTTCAGCCTGCTTAATGCTATTTGCCTGGATAGTTTTTAGACGTAAGTATGAATGGGGGTCAGTTATGATGCCCCAAAACCTTTTGATCGCATGCGTACTTCACTCATAATCAGCAATTGTAGAACTAGCAAAGACGCAAAATGTACCTTTTGGAATTCGGCATTAACAATAGTACTTGATGTTGTTTTTGTTGAAGAAGTTTGCTGTTGTTGCTGTACAGCTGCTGGTGTTAAATGCATAAAGGGTGGCATCATAAACGGATAACGCATCATTTGAGGATTTGGTGGCATATATGGAAAGCCTGGAAGAAAGAAGAAAATACATAGTTGTAAAATGCTATAAATATTCCAAACCAGCATAAACACTAGAGATTTTACATAACTTATCGAACTTATAGCGTCCTACTTTGAAAATCCATAATTATTATATCCCTTATAAATGCATTGTACTGTACGACTTTGTAGTAATATAAAGCTATTAATTCTGCTTACCAGGTGGCATCATTTGACTCATGTGAGCCATTAAATGAGGGGGCATCATTCCCATCATGCTCATCATGGCTTGCGGTGGCATTCCGAATGGCGGCATCATTCCACCGGGAGGATAACCATAGCGTTGTGCTGTATTGAATGTTGCTTGATCATAGGCAGTTGATGCTTGTGGATTCTTCTGATCCTCTGCTGATGTACTTTCAACTTTTTTAACGTCCAGATCGGACATATTTGTTTGATCTTGATTTGATTGCATTGTTTTCTCATCGTTTGCACCGTTACTACCTATTTCACTTACTGTAGTTTGTGCCGGCGTTGCAGAAGAAGCGGTAGATGAGGATGTTAATTCAGTTTGTATAGTCGAAGGATTGGCTAATAATTTATCAACTTCCTCTTGTGACATAACGCGTTGGCCGTCTGGTTTTGTCCATGTTGTATCACGAGACTTGGCGTTGTAATAATAAACCTAAATAAAGCAAAATTATTGTTTATGAATCAACCATCATCAGAAGAATACTTACTCTTCCATCAGCACTTTTATACTCGACCCATAATGTATTTAGATCAAGTGGAATTGGCATGGAAGGTATGGCTGTTGTAGGATTATTGATATAACTTGTTCCCGGAAGAGACGAAGGTTGCTAAATTGAAAATCTCTATAATATAGCAGCTAAACGCAAACAAAATCTGGACATACTGTTTGCGAAGCTGTAGGTGAACTCATTGTCGAAATCACTATCAAAACCAAGTTGAAATCATAAAAGTATGCTTGTGAGTAATAGTTTAGGAGTTAATAAAATCTAAAAATGTTTAAACAAAATGACGCATGATCAAGTGAAGAGGAAACCTTCTGAGACGGTTAAAAGCTCTTATGATAAAAACCAGTTCTTCTATTATAATTCTTATTATTGTGTTATGGATCATTGGAAAGTTTGACTCCCTGTCTCCAGAAATTTTATCTCTAGACCTATGCCATAGTTTCAGTCTAACAGATTCTTAAACTGTCAGTTTCTCATATGAAAAACATTTTTAGACTAATCATGCAATATTCATCAAATACTTTCGGAATATATTACACATAAAAAACGAAGCTTGATACTGCAAAAATCAAAAATCTAATATTCAGGTAGTGTAGCGAATAATGTAATGCTAATGTATATCAAACATTTGAGACTTTCTTAGTTTTAATTGATCAAGTAAGTATAGTAATTGGCAACTCCTTTTTTTATTATTTTTCAAAAATTAATGCCATATTGATGGTGTAAAAGACCTTGTATTAAGTATAAATGCTTCACTAAACGCGAACACGGATTGGAGCTTCGATAATGCTATTGATAATATAGGTAAACAATGGATATGATAAGCTGCATGCTCGGTCAAGTTAAGTTGATGATCCACATCGTAAAGCATGAAAACAAAAGGGTCTAACGATATTTTACTACGAACAACATGGCCGACACTAAAGTACCAAGAAGAGCAGAGGGCCGTATCACAAAAAAACTTAACTCTGACTTAAGTTAAAATTTGGACTTAAGTTTCTTTGCTTTCACTAACTTAAGTCTTTGGACTTTTACCGTATTACAAAAAAACTTAAGTCAAAGGGTGACTTAAGTCATGGGAAATGTAGTCTTAAAGTTAAGACCGAAAACTTAAGTCATTGACGCATTTTCGAATAGCTCAGGCATTTAACGATACGATTCGATGAAAATGACATTCTAAGGATTAGAGAATAAATATTTCGTTATTTTGCAGGTTTTTGTCTCAAGTTTGTCACTGCTGTCAACGACTTTTAAAAAGTAAACAAATCGCCAGCTTAAGTCTTTTCATGATACGACTCCCCAGCCCCTTCAAAGTATACAATTCGTCTTGAAAAACTTTTTACACTTCTATTCAGCTAAAATAAGAAGCCGGCAGTGACTAAATCACTTTAGTGCCCGGCACATTTTTGCTGATGCATAGCGACATAGCGTTAGACAAATCCTTCCTTCGTTCGTTACACGTCATACATTTATTTTTTCTTGTTTGCTATTAAAACCGTTCAGTCAAAGGATTATTACATGAAAGAAAATTAATTAAGCGTGTGGCAGACATTGAGACGTCTTCCTCATACAGCTGTGCAGAGGCGGCGAAATGATTCTGAAACTATGGATGCGTTCATGGTCAAGAACCCAAAGAAAAAATAAGTTTCTACTAGAAGAAAACGAAAATTTTCCAAATTTGTGAGTGGCCCACGGCCTCCATGGTTCCGCCTCAGCTGTGTTTGTTTACAAAACTTTTCTTCGTCCTTTGTTAACGTACGCTGCTCCGTGTATTTCTCTTGTGTATTTCTATTTCTAGCTAGATTAAATCTCAACGCATACAAAATGTCAGTCTAAAAATCGCTCTTCGTCTCCATCACGTTTCCCCCCTCATGAACTTCATAAGCGTGCTTCTTATGTTTTATTAAACGATTTTGTTTTTAAGTTATCTCGTTCTTTTACTATGTACGGTTTTCTTTCAAACGATATCTTTCTAAATCTTGTTCTTAACCGCTTTTTCTATAAAGAAAAGTGTGAAACAAACACACTACATTTACGTTTAAATCCAATCAAAACTATTCTAAATAGACTTTTGAACTTGTGATATCTCTCTTTGATTAAATTGTTTTATACTTTTGTGTTATTTTTTAGCTGTTCGTTCATTTGTAACATCTTTAACCTTATCCCTATTGTGTCGTGAAAACAGGCAATACGCCTATCATATCTTTCGCAATAAATCATCAATTATTACTCTATAAAAAACAAGAAAAACCTGACAAAACAACAACGAAATAAAAAGTAGAAAATCTACTTCCGTCAAAATTTATTGTTTCTAATGGAAAAAATAAAATTGTCTATAATAACTTTTTATGGGGATATATAGCCTACCGGAGTTCTTCCTAATTCATGTACAAAATGAGTGCAATTGATTTGTTTTGTTTGGAAAAAATACTACAGTCGTAAAAGTAACTTGCACTTTTTTCATAAACACGATTCGCCACATGAGATATCGAATCAACTACTTTAGCGACAGGCATCCACTACAATTTACAAAAGTGTCCAACTTTCAATCGCTAAAGCTTTTGTCATGATTTACAGTGTTAAGCCTACACATTTCTTCTCGTTTCAAACATTTCTTTTTGTCTTGCATGTTTTTGATCTTCTGTTATATGCCATCTTCATGTTAGATTTCTTTCATTTTCTTCACCAGGTGTTCCACTCGTGTACAATTTAATATACATTATTTCCTTTTGCGTTCAATACTTCTATATTTCTGTATTTATAGAATTTTTTGTAGTATCCTTTTATAAATATCTTTATTTGAAAGTTCATGAGCATCTTCAGTTCAAGTATAACTCAAGGAAGGGATTACTCTCGTTTTGTCCCGTCTCATTTCGTCTCACACTCGTTTCATCCCTTTTATTTTCTATCATTCTACTTATTTTATAACTATCCATCTATTTCTATTAACTGCATATTTTCAATATTAGTATAATTAATTAAGATGATGTAAGAAGTTGTTACATGGCATATTGATACGTTGATAGCCCTATTATTTTTTAAAAAGCAAGTTACATTTATTATTTATTTATAAGTTACAATGAAATAGGGTAATTTTACAGTATTAAGAGAACTTCCGTGAAAATACCGACCGACAGGGCCTTCGATAAAATTTAGAGTTTGAATCCTTTTACATCATTGGGCAACCCCATTCAAATGACCACTAAATCCAAGTGTTTAGTCTTAGGAACTTCATCTGAAAATAGTAGGATCTTCTAAGATTTTGAGGGCATTTTAAACGATGATTTTGCTATGATGATAGTATTTCGAAATTTTCTATAAAACTAAGCAACCCGTAACCTTGGTTCAAATGTCATTAAATAGAGCAATATTTGGTGTACAAACTCATTTATTTGGAGTTGGTTGCGCCCTTATCATCAAACAGACGAAAAGGGATGTAACCAAAATCGATATTTTAAAAAAGTATTTTCATTCCTAAGGCGACATGTAACCTTGCCCCAAGTTTTGCAGAAATAACTCAGAGCCATGTATCAACTTCTTACATTATCTTAATTAATTATATTAATCTTGAAAATATGCAGTTGATAGAAATAAATGGACAGTCATAAATAAGGGGCGCCCCGATAATGGAAGCGAGGGAAGAGGCTTTTTGAAAAAACTTATTTCGAAATCAGAATTTTCTTACTTCGAAAATTGGATCTTTGACTTACGAGAGTATCCCATAGAGTAAAGCGTTTACTCGTATTTTCAGAGTAAGACAATTACTCTCATTTTTAGAGTATAAAAGGCTTACTCTCAGTTCCGAAGTAAAGCGCTTATTCCCATTTTCAGAGTAAGGCGTTTAGTTTCAATTTTTGGAGTAAGATATTTATTTCCATTTTGAGAGTAAAGCATTTGTTTTTTCTTTCTGTATTTGATAGAAAATAAAATTTGGTATGCACATAAATAAGATAAGATAAGTAGAATAGGTCGTATCATGACTTCGGTAAATGTACTTTTATATTATAAGGCTTTGTGTTGAAGTAAATTGAGTTAGATAAAAGGAAATTCAGACTTGATTTAGAAGAAAATTGCTTACGAGGGAACCCCACGAAGTGATTAAACGCTTTTTGCTCGGAATCTAGTGGATTATAGGTTATCGACCATGCGGCTTCCGCATAGCCCTTCGAAGACCTGGTTTTCTAGAAAACGAGTTTTTCAGAAACCCCAAAAAATAACCCGAACCGTTCTTAATGAGGCATGATTGTAGCCCGCAAATTTCTGATTAAAATGAGACCTCTCCCAACTCCACATGACC